TTCCCCGGGCGGCGTGCGGCTGTCTGGCGGGGGCGGGTTCTGCAGCCGTCACTCGGGCGGGATCGCAGCTGTCCCTCGGGGCCCCGCAGCCCCAGCGCCGGCGAGGCGGTGTCGGTTGCGAGCACTCGCCCAGGTATTTCCCCGCTGCTGGATTTTTACGTCTCAAACGTACCCACAGCCCCGAGTGAGCCCCGCCTCGGGTGGCCGTGGTTGTGGAAATGGGTGTCCCCGGTCTCCCTTCCGTGGAGCTCCTCCCGGGCCTGCGGTAGCTAGTGCGCGGCCTTGCTGTCTGTTGTTGGGGGGAGGAGGGGGAGGTCCTGGGCGGCTGACTTGCAGCGGTGGGTTAAGCACTCTGGGCCGTTGCTCCGGTGTGGTGAGGGGGGATGATGGTGCTTCCTTGGGAGGGGACTGGCATCCCCCAAAGAAAGCAGTGAATGAAAGACTCATCTGTGCTTACACAGTGCTTAAATGACGAAGATGCAAATATGCTTGTCAGTTCTTTGCCTAGTGTCACATTGCTAGTCTTGATCTCGTTACTGAGTCTTCTTGTTGCATATTTGTATTTTTTCTTTGGACTAGATCATCTGGGAGCAAAGCAGGACAAGTTTGGGCGCCTGAGGGATCAACAGCTTTCAAGTGTCTCATCTCAGCCAGGTTCTGTGCAGCTCTTTTAAGCAACATCTCTGATTGTGATGAGACGTTTAACTATTGGGAACCGGTAAGTGGCTTTCTCTCCCTGGAGATACTTGTGAATTTATAGTTGGGCTGTGCAAATGCAGATTTATCTAGAATCTTGTGCTAATCTCTGTTTCAAAGAGAAATTTTCTGACTCAAGAATTCAGAGATGGGAAATGCAAAACTGTCTACTCTGTGTGATGCAGATTTATTTATTTATGTAATCTCCATTGTAGACACACTACCTCGTTTATGGAAAGGGGTTTCAGACATGGGAATACTCTCCAGCCTATGCCATCCGCTCCTATGCTTACCTGTGGCTTCATGCCTTACCAGCCTTGTTCCATGCTAGAGTTCTACAAACTAACAAGGTAAATCAGACGTGTGAAAGCTTCTTTCGTGATGAATAAACATGCCTTTAGTCTGTGTTAAACAGCTGGTTTGTTTGTTGTCAGAGGTAAGAGAATTAGTGTTTACAAAACACTAATTTGTTTACAAACACTGATCTTCCTGTAAGGATTTGCAAGGGTTTGTGAGCTGACTCAACGGGATCCAGGGAAAAGTGACTGGGAAGTTGCAGGAAATGCTGTCAGGCTCTGGTTTGATTGAGAAGCTGTCCCAGAGAGGCTGGTAGCTCCTTGGCCTTTTGAGTGTGTGCAGGCCTGGGGACAGACCTGGCAGCCACGGGCTCTCATTCACCCCTATGAGTTTCACCCTGATGCTTTAGAAGCCAGTATTGTTTTCTATGCCAGCTACCAGTGACTATTTTGATTTTTTTTTTCAATAAACTCTAAAAAATAAATAAGTATTTTGCAAAGGATATTGCAAACTGAACTCACAGAAATGTAAAAGAAAAAGCACTGAATGTGGATTCTGCTTGAGTATCCATTGCCATACTTGGCATGTTTCTGCATAACAGAAAACAAAAGAGGGGTAGTTCTGGTAAGTTCAGTGGACTGTGTCCACTTTCTCTGTTGTAAAGGACTTCAGTGTTAGAGGGCTAGGCCTTGAGCTGCCGGGATCTTCATCCTCCCTTGGTGTGGGATCTGGGTCTATGAGAATAGGCTCATTCGCCACTGCCAAAGTTGCTCCATCCTGTTCAGAACTTTTGTTCTTGGGACCGACTTGTTAGTAATAGGTGAATAAGCTTCATTCCAAACCTTGTTCAGACTCTGAGTATGTCTCCTAGGTTCTTATCTTCTATTTCCTCCGATGCTTCCTGGCCTTCCTGAGCTGCATTTGTGAACTCTACTTCTATAAGTGAGTATTAGAAGGTGTCTACAGTGAATGTTTTGGAGCAATGTGAGTAACATATTCAGTTATTGCCACAGGAAATACACTCTGAAGCTCATGTGTAGATGTGTCTGGTAAATTGGACTACTTCACAGTGAACCTTGAAAATATATGTTCTTATGATAACTTAATGAAATACTGGTCAGAATTCCACTGTTATGACAAAATTTTATTCTCGGATCTGCCACCTGCATCTCCACTCCAGCATTTTGTTGACTACACTCGTTTTCTCAGTGATACCAGCAAGCAAGGTGGGAGTGTTGTAAACTGAGCTCTGCTGGAGGAGAGACTGGTGTTGTGTTTGCTTATCATAGTGAATTTTAGTGGAATACATTGATTGTTGCTGTCTGTAATGTATCTGCCAATGGTGTTTACATCCACTAAAGCAGTAGCCTGAACATACAATTATCTTGTCTAAGCTGGATTTTTATTTTTACCTGCTGCCTCTTCATTTGTGGCTTTCAAACTATTACCTTGCATGACTTTTCTGTGGCAATAGTCTGGTTTTAAGAATGTGAGCTGTGGCTTTTTGCATGATGGGATTTTGTGAGGGGTGAAAATCTTAGATTGATGTTGTAACAGCAGTGCAGACTCCCTGAGTTCCTGAGATTTGCATGAATGCAACTGACACTGGTAGAAGCCAAGTCTCTTCTAGAGTTTTGCACTAGTGTAACTTAGGAGGATCTGAAATCCCAGGCCAGAGGCAGTCATACTGCTCTTCAGGTTGCCTTCGGTGGCTGAGTAATGAACATCACCCACCTTAAAGCTCTCAGGATGCTCCATGGATTGTTTGTGATTCTGCATGCATTGGGTACTGTTCTTTTATGTACTGAGGATATGTTTGTGGTCTCTAATTGTCTCTTGCTTCCTTAGGGCCGTGTGCAAGAAATTTGGGCTACATGTGAGCCGGCTGATGTTGGCCTTCTTAGTACTCAGCACTGGGATGTTTTGCTCATCTGCAGGTGAGTTTGCTTAGCAATGACACTAACAATTACTTTGTCCATAGAAACCAACGACAAGTCCAGAGAGGAAAAAATCCACAGCACTAAAATATCTCTCTAGCAATCGTTTGTTGTATTCTGTTGCAGCTATTTCTCATGGCAGGTGTGATGACGGAATAAGTGTTGATTCAAATTATGTTCCCTGCATCACTCTCTTGTATCTTTCCATTTCCAGGGCATGTTTGTTTCTGTTGCTGCCTCCAGTCTCTCTGCTATGGGCCATGCCTTTAAACAGGGTCTTGGCCTACCTTCCTTGAACATATTTTAACTCAAGGAAGGAGGGTCATATTTTGGCATTGTCATTTGCCTTTGTGTCCTGTCCCCTCTGGCTATTGTACCCATTTGCCTAGCCAACCACATAAGACTTATAAAACACCTGCTGTAGGTATTGAGTAAAGTGCAAGGAGAGACTTTGAGCAAAGGTTTTCTGTATTGCGCGCATACAGAAACTGAAAGGGAAATACCACAACTTACGAATGCTGAGATTTCATATTTTACCCTTTTTTTGTTTATGGTGAGTGGAGAAAAGACTTTCCCTTCATTGTTTTTGCAGTGTTATAAGTCTCCTCATTCTTCACTTACTTCCCACCAGTCTCTGCCCAGTTGCTTCAGAGACTCTACGCAGTCAGCTCACATTTTCTGCTGCCACTTGAGCAGGTTCATTTCATTTTTTTCAACCTAGCAGAATATAGAGGGTGCAACAGGTGTTACAAGTGGTAACCATGGATGTTGTCAACTGGTTACCACTGCTGAGTGCCACCGAGGAAAGAGGCCTTCATACTTAAAGGAAGTATTTCTGGTCTTGGCAGAACAAAGAAAAGAATCGTCTTTTTTTTGCTTTCACTGAAATGAATGTCCAGTATAGCATCCAAGCTCCAATGGAATGATTGAATGAGAGATATCTTAGCCTCATGCAGTTCTCCTGCTGTGGGAAAGCTGTACTAATCCTTTTCTTTCCTTGTGTTGCAGCTTTCCTCCCAAGCAGTTTCTGCATGTACACCACAGTGATTGCCATGACTGGCTGGTATATGGACAAGACCTCTGTAGCAGTGCTGGGGGTGGCCGCTGGAGCCCTTCTGGGCTGGCCCTTCAGTGCAGCTCTTGGGTAAGGAGAGGAGGGCTCAGGAGTTTTGCACTTTGTCGAATGTTTCTTGCCTGGTTGGGGAGAATGTAGGGCCTGGAGAGCTAGAGGAAGAAACTAGCAGGGACTGAGCTGCCAGCCTAGTCCAGGATCATTGCTACAGGCTTCCATAGCCTGATTTCTTTGCTTTTGAAGAACTTAGGTTGGGAAGATTTTCTTGCCCTAATATACTGAGAGTGAGACCGGAGTTGGATGACTGGAATATGGAGTAGAAGCAGAGCCCAGTGAAGTGATGGTTCTCTTCCAGCTACTGCCCCGCTTGCTTTGATGGGGCAGGAAAATCTGCAATGGGGAAAGACAAAGTCTTCAGTTGATACCTGGTCTCTCTTTCAGGCTTCCTATTGCCTTTGACTTGTTGATACTGAAGCAGAGGTGGAAAAGTTTCCTAAACTGGTGTGTGGTGTCATTGATCCTGTTTTTGGTAAGTGCCTGTAACAATGCAAAAAGGGAATGGATTGGGCTTGCAATAGAAGGGGTGGGTTCCATTAAGAAAATCACATGGAGCTTTTGGGCAGTCCAGCCAAAAGCTTCTGGCACTTTAAATAATAGATGCTTTCTTCCAGGTGCCCTTGGTAGTTGTGGACAGCTATTACTATGGGAAGCTGGTAGTTGCACCTCTCAACATTGTTTTATACAATGTCTTCACCTCTCATGGACCTGATCTCTATGGTGAGTTTAAGATAACAAGACAGGAAGGGAGTCGGCTTGCTGTCTTGCTACCCTGATCCACCAGGTCTTGATTGCCAATCCTTTCTCTGACGTACTCTAAAGCAAAAGCAGCCTGCAAGCTCCAAAGGGCTGCAGTTCCAGCTTTTTGCCACAGGATGCCTCTCTCGAGCTGGGAATCCGCAGGCCATTGTCAGATTTCTCCACGCTGTGAGTTAAGCTGCTTTTGTTCACTTTCAAGTTCTGTAAACCGTCATGAGATGTCTCAGCATCACAGCAGAGAACTGGTAGTAGCAAATGTGTCTGGATGCTACGCGAGTGTAGTGCACACAAGTGATACATGTGGGTGTTTGTCAGCTTTAATCGAGTTCTCGGCTGTTCCTTACAGTCAGGGTGCAGAACCTTGGGAAAGTGGGTAACAGTGCAGAATCCATAGTTCACATCGGGTCTCTGCAGACTTCCTGAGTCCATGTTGTGCCTTGGGAATCTCCTTGCTTATTGGCAGTGTATGGCCTGGACTTTGCTGGCAAGCAGAATCTGAGGTTACTATGAAGGCATCTAATCTGCAGGCAAATCATCTGCCTGTGAGGGGTTCCCTGGTACTGGCCATTTAGGATACTGTGTGACCCAAATCTCAAGTCTGAACCTTGATGGCAATGCTGTATTGTTTGTTTGGAAGCTGCCACTGCACTAAGTTGTTCATATCATGTACTTCTAGAGCTGAAGAGTAGAAAAGTATTATATTTCTAGCAGGGCTTCAGAGGGGCTGGCAGAGACTTCAGGGAGCTTAGGGTACAGGGTCCCTGCGTCATCTCTGTCATCTGTTTAAGCTCTGTCGAGATATTCTAGGAGGGATTTGGCAGTGGTTAGCATCAAGGCTTTCTCTGGCAGTGCCCTGCAGGCCATATTTGTTGGTTTGTTTGAAGGGCTGTTTTGGGTGGTGCTGTGTGGTGATGTGTTACTTGTGCTGTGGCACAGCAGGGCACCAGCTGCTTTGCCATGGTTCTTCATCTCTGCAGGAAGGCTCTGAAGCCTGTTGCTGTGAATTTTCTGTAAGGAAACTCCAGGGCTTGTGCCTGACCTTCTCCACACTGGTGCATGGTTGTTTCCAGAAGCCTTGAGGGACCAATCTATTCTGAAGTGTTTTATTCATAGTGACATTCATATAACATCCTCAGGCTAGTAAAAGAGCCTGCTTGAAATTGCTCTTTAATGCAGTGTGGCCAGGACAACGCTGTGTGTTTAGAGAGCTTCAAAACACTTGGGAAAAACAACACTACCAGGGGAGATGAAAGGCTGGCCTATCCCTTTTGGCTTTGGAGCTGGGATTTCCCAACTTTCACATGATGGGAGCAGGAACCGCTGGAGGTTGCAGAGTCATCAACCCATATCATCTTCAATGTAAGCACCACAATTTTTCCTTTTCCTTGCAGACTGGAGTTCTGGAGACAAGGTTCAATTTTTTATTATTTTTTTTGTCTTTAGCAATACACTCCTTCTGGATAAATACAGTCTGTGCAATGAATATTTCCCTGGGGTGATTAGATTTCTACAGCCAAGGGAAAGTAGCTCCCTAAGCCTGATTCTGAGGCTTTGGGATGTTTTTGTGTACATATGTTCTAAGAACGCACAATTTGTGACAGAAGTTTTATCCTACTTCCTGTGATCAGAGCCTTGGCTGTGACTTGCAGTGCAATGGCACTTTGGGAAGCTTTGTTCAGCTTGGACGGAATGTGCTGGAGCTGTTTATATGACACCTTGCTCTGTTGAGTCCTGGCTCTTAAAGAGAGTGAAAATAAAAGAAATGCAGAAAGCAGACTGTTTATTATACTAGCACTGAATCAGGCTTGCTTAGAATGAGGGCTGTGACTCATGATCAAATTATTGTGGCTTAGTTACTGCTTAACAGCTGAGCTACAGTTCCTGTCTGCATGCAGGCTTTTAGCCTGTGACAAACATCGGGTGGGACACCTTAGCTTAAGCCTATTTTACAACTCCTCTGCTTTGTCCTGAGCCGCCCTCACCATTGCTGTGGTCAAGCTGCAGCATGGTAGCTTGTTAAGTTCTATTAACTTGTGTGTGAGTTTGATTTCTAGAATTGCTCCTGGAGCCTGTCACAGAGCACAAAGTTCAAACCTTTCTGGCTCAGTGTCTGACAGTGCTTCCAGTTGGTTATCCCCATGGAACCATAGTGCCACAAACTGACGGGGCCACAGTGTTCTTCCCACTGCTTTCATCAGTCTCTCTTCTACAGCCCACATCTGCTCAGCTCTAGCATGTGAGATGCTTGCAGGAAGTTAAATCTTCTGTCATGATCTGAAAGCGATACTGTGGAAGCATATTCCCATCAGTACTGCGCATGGAGAGTTCTTTAGTGTCCCTCCCTGCTTGAAAGACATTGTTCTGGGCCAGGACTTCTTGTATGCAATGGGGTGGTTGTTTTTTTATCTTGCAGTTCTTTCTCAGATCACCTTGAGTTGTTGTGGATAACAAGAATAAAAGCATTTTGCCCTGGGAGGCATTGAGACTGAATGCCTCTGAATGGGTTAGTCATCACAGTGACCAAGCCTATTGCTTTCTGCCTGGTGCCTGTGAATTACTTAACTTGCCTGTGTAATGCACTGTTCTCATTTTTTTTTTTCCTTTTTTTCTCTTTTTCTCCTCACCCAGAGAAGAAAATCCCTCATTGGAGAAGGAGAGGTTCCAGTGCTTAGTTCTTAGGGGTAATTCAGTCACACTGCAAAAAAATCTGAGAAAGTAGCCTTTTTGTTAAAGCTATGCTTCAGACCAGCTTCAGACCAGCTGACCTCTTTATCAGCAGAGTCCCTCAGGACACTTCTGGGCCTTTAAGGCTGTATCTAGATTGTGGAGGAGGTGTGCTTCATGAAGTGTCCTTCATTCCTGAGTCCCAGGCTACTAAAGCAGAGACCAGAGTAGAGAGTGCCATAGTTAATTTCCTTTACTTTCAATAGCAGCCAGGGCCGGTAGAAGACTGATAGTATGGTCCCTGGTACTATCCTTTAAAGACTTGGGACTTGGCTGTGCTGTGCAGCTTAATTGTAGCCAGAAAACACTGGGGGGTAACAGTTTATATCAGTTTAAATAGCTTTCTATCTCATTTTGGCAACTTCTGTGATAAAGTGGCTGTTGTTTATAGCAGTGGGAGTGGGGAAGCAGGCTACCGAACCTGGTTCCAGTCCTTTTTTATATAAGGAGAGGCCTTGGTGCTCCACAGAAGTAATTACTAGAGTGGCTTAACCAGTGTTAACCCTGCTGTAAGTCTTTAGAAACCTGTACTATTGCCTCAGAAGAAAATCTGGAGGCAGCAGGGCTGGGAAGAAACCAAAGCCCCCTTTACACACACTTTTTCTAGATGTCCACTGGAAGATTTACAGTGTGATACCCCAGACTACCTCACGTTTTCCCTCACAGATATATCCCAGTCAGTAGCCCTGATTTCTAGGAAGGGTAGTACGCTTCAGTCCTAAAATGATATGCTTTCTGCACGTGTTCAAGATCTGTCATAGTGATTGTTTAGAATTGCAGTCCTTAAATATGGAGAGTCACCAACAGAGTCTAGAGAAGGAGGAAGGGACGTTGGCACTATTGCAATGTTGCCATATAGATAACTCTGTCATGTCCATCACTTGACATGATCTTTCAATCTACCATATCCCATATTCAGCCTTTCACAGGCTGAGGATTGTGCTTATGTGGGACTTGCAAGAATTATGAGGCAGGTGGAGGGAGAGAGAAGATGAGTTTCTAATAATTCACTCCCTTAAGGCCCCCTACTCCCCAAAATCCGAATCTGTAATTGCTGTTTGCTTTCAGTGCTAATAGCTAAAGTTTTCCTAAATGAACCTCAGTTGCTTGGACTTGGCCTTAGTAACTCCAGCGACATGTTTCTGACATTACTAGTGCAGCTTCTAATCATGTTTAGCTGTAGGAGCTGCAGAGGTTTCGGGTTTTCCTTGCTGCTTTTCAGTTGTCTGATTAATTTCAACATGGACCCTGTTTAAGTGGCTCTGATTGCAGGAAATTGCTGTGGCATGTGACACATGTCACAACAGTGCAGTGATTAAAGCCCCCGCGTGTCATTTACTGACTGATTGAGCTAATCACACTGAGAGAGCGGCAAATGTGTGGAGAGGAACTGGCATTCCTTATTGTTCAGGATTTTAAGCATCCTGAATTAAGAGTCCAAATAAATGACAGTTGGACTGGAATTACTTTCAATGTACATCCTTCGAAGCTTGCAACCAATACCCAAGTATGTCATGTTAGGAGGCAGAGTTGGCTTGCTCCTGTTTGAAGCTACACTGTAAGAACAAATTGAAGTAGGGACATTTTAAATAGTGTTGACTCTAAGGAGGTACCAAAATTAGCATCTGGATGAACTTTTGTGGCGGAGTCTTTGTTGGGGTGAAGTGTGAATATGACCTCTTTTTTTTGTTCCTTTTTAGTACATTTTCTATTTCTGCCAACATGGAGTATACATCATCACTTCAGAATTATAATGATTTCTTATTAACATGGTGTCGGTTTGTGTTATTCCTCTGTTACTTCTCTGCAATTAGAAAGAATGAATTTGGAGTCAAATTTCCTAGTTTTACAAGTTTCTGCCTCTCCTTTCTTGCTGTGTAGGCTTTCTTAATGCAAGGGCGAGTTCCGTGTCACAGAACTCTGCTGGGCAAGGCTGACTGTTAGAGTGGCCTGTGATTCATGAGCAGCAGATGTGGTATTGACTATGACCCAGTGAAAAAGGAAGGAGAAAAATAATTTCTGAAAAGGAAAACAATGACGTTTCTTGGGCAGACATGACTGTGAGATACTCTGGTGCCTTTGTATGGCTATTGACTAACTCTCATGCCGCTGTTATGGCAGTGTGAGGAGCAGAACCATGAGACTGCTTTGAGATGGCTCAGGCTCATTCCATGGGGCTGCATCCTCTGTCCAGCTGCAATATCTTCTGTCCACACCCTTTCCATTCTTTGATTCCAATATGCTTGCAGTGGGGAGAATTGATGTCTGCTGCTGATTATCTCAATCAGTGTCAGGCAGAGAAAGAACGAAGCTGCTGTTACATCTAGATCTCATACACGCTTGTATTTAAAAACTTTTGTTTCCTTTTCTTATCCTTTAGGTACGGAACCCTGGTCCTTCTATTTCATCAACGGCTTTCTGAATTTCAACGTGGCATTTATTTTGGCGCTGCTTGTGCTGCCACTGACTTGTCTCATGGAGCGTCTGCTTCAGAAATTTCATGGTGAGTGCAAGACAACTGTGAATGCCAAGCACAGACAGCCCACATCTCAACCTTGTTGCTAAAGGGAGAGCTTGCCTGCCAAAGAGCAGCTTTCCTTCATTGGAAGTGAAACTAGGTTCAGGGAAAGTCTTTGGAATAATAGGAAAGTTCCTAGAGCTCATTACTTAGTTCAGTATTGACCCCACAATGGAGTTGCTGTGTAGAAAGAACACGCAGTGAGATGCATCTACTTACGTGCTGTCTGCAAAAGGGCAGAAACATGTTCTTCTCTTCAAGGATGATTCCTGTGTTCCCTGCCTCCACCTCAAGAAGAACAATGTGTTATCAAGGCTGAACTATCCATACCCAGAGTAAGCTTAACAAGTTGTATGGTACATAACCTTCAGCCAGACATGCAAATGCATTAGAAATAGCCCTGTCAGAAATCTTAAGGGGGAAAGAAACTATGTACCCGTTGTTGTTTCCATCTTATCTGCAGCTGGAAATGGTAGCCTTTAGAGTTATTTGGGGAACCTTTTGCTGTCTCTTCCATTGTTACTTTTTTTATACCACTGCCAGAATGTTTTCTGCAGCAACTTGAGAGAACAGAGTTATTATTTCCTGTTTGATTGTTGGGGCTGAGCCTACAAATAGGCATCCTCTGGTCTCTGCTGCTGCCACCCATGTTGGGATTGAACCTGGACTCTTCTGTGCACTTCAACTCGCAGGACAGTTGTGCTACCCCATGCTTTGGGAAGTGTTCCCATAGGCGTGGATATACTGAGAGTAGAGAAAGGAGGAACCAGAATATTCCCTCCTTCACGTTGGGCTTTCTCTTAAATTAAATGACATCAGTTTAAACACATGACATTTGGCAAGTGACTCTAGAGAGGAAAAAGGTGTTGAGGAAGTGTGAATTCTTCTCTGCCGTTTTCCTAAGGAAGATTCATTAAATGTCAGCAGCAGCCTCCAGATTCATCAGTCCAGTTAGTGCTTCGCGCTCTGATTTTTTACTGAGTACAAGAAACAATAACGTCATAATCATTGGTGAAAATGTATGTTAACAGGTATTTGCTTATATCTGTTCCTTGGATATGACTGACATACTGTCAGAAACCAGTAAAAGCTCAGTAGGAGATCCTGTAAATGCAAGATTTCCTGCTGTTCACTTGGTGTTCTTGTACTTAACAGCAGGAGCAATTCTGCCAAGTGCTTTGTTCTTATTGTCTGTGAAATGCTTAATTGCTTAACTCTGCTGTTGGGAGTAGCAAGGGGGCAGAAAAGGGACTGAAAATTGTCAGGCACTGTAGAACCCTCCTCAGTGTGACTAAAATTCAGGGTAATTGTTGTTATTTTTGAATCAGTTATTTCCTCCGTTAAGCAGAAGGTGCCTGAGAGACATCTCATGCTGTTATTTTTGTAATGAAGCAATGAAGGTTGTGGAAACTTCAGTCGCTAAATAACCATTTGTAAGTTGAAGGGTAGGTCCAGAAGAGATCCTTTCTGATCTTTGTATGTATAGCATAATACACAGCAGGAAATCTAGTACTTCTGACCACCTGTTTAGACATGTCAATTCTTGATGGGTTTTGTCTCTTGCTTGGATTCAGTAACGCAGTCCCTTATTTTCTGCTTTTGGTCTTCTAAATTCTGTTGATATTGTTAGTATTGTAGGAATCTAGAAAAATTCTCTGATCAAAATTCTATACTGACTGTTTGGACATGTTACCTGGATTTTAGCAACATGGCTGCTCAGAACATGGTGTGTTTGTGTCTGAAGGCAATAGTTTGGGTCTGAAGAATGGGCTTTTGAATGTGAGATATGATTGCGCAAGAGGGGGAATAGGGTAAACCCCTCATTCTTACATTACTACTTTACTGAGTGTTTGTTTCTTTCAGTTCAGAATCTGGGCCGTCCCTACTGGCTGACACTAGCTCCTATGTACATTTGGATCATGATTTTCTTCAGTCAGCCCCACAAAGAAGAGAGGTTTCTCTTTCCCATCTATCCCCTCATCTGTCTCTGCGGTGCTGTGGCTCTGTCTGCTCTTCAGGTAAGTTTCAGTGGAACATGTTTTTTTAATGAGCTCATGCCTTTATGGAGTATAACTGCTAGCTGACTTCTTTAACATTGCTTCCCAAAGTTTGGGAACATCTGCAGAATATCTGTGTCTGTGACACAATCTACAGTGATCACACAGTTCAGGACTGTCCTATGCATAACTTTTGATCATTGTCTTTAATCTGTTAGCTGATACAGTTTTCATTTTTGAACCATGTTTCATGGATAGGTGTTGAGACTCTGGAAGCAAAATGCACAGCCATTCTAATACTGAAGTGTGTGTTGCTGATTTTACAAGTTAAACCATAATCGTCCTGTACAGGTTGATTGAGAGTATGTGGAAAACTATTAGCCCTCTGTAAGATGTGATGTAAAAGCAAAAATATTTGGGATTTCCCTCCTGATTGTCGTACAGAATGAGCTCATCTAATAATCTTGGACTTCAGTGCAGACTGCTTAACAGCCCAGCGAAAAAAGATCAAATTTCATGGCTTTAAAAGGTGATCACATTAGGAGCTTGTCTGGGATTGTGTGAAATGATAAATGGTTGAGAATATTTCTTTGCCACTAATTATTTCATGATGACTTTGAGTTGTTCTCCCATCCCAAGTGGGAATTTCTGGTGAGGAGCAGTTGTGATGTTGTAGTGCCAATACAACACAACATCCAAGAGATGTCATGAGGATTAGTAACTTGCTTATAACGTTTTGCCTTCTTTGTCTGCTGTTAAGCAAGCTTTAAGGGGCAGGAA